TATTAAAAAAAAAAAAAAAAAGCATCTTTATATTAAATAAATTAAATCTAATATTTAGTAATTATATATTAGTACTACAAAAATAAATATGCAATTTTAAAAATAGATAATGAAATTTATAATAATCTATTTTTAAAATTGCAGATTTACTCTTGCAGCACTCATATAAGTAAAATTATATAAAAATACCTATTTTAAATAAAGCTTATTACTTTAAAACTTGTTAAATGAAACATCTTTTTCATTTAATTTTTGTAGATTTTCTTTATATTTATTATTATTTTTTAGTATTTCTTTGGGTTGCTCTTTTATCTTTTTTTTTATTTTTTTTTTTAATTAGCCTTTTAGCATAGGGTTTTTATTCAAGTATTTTAAGGGTGAGAGGCTTATAGCAGAACTCCAAATTACATTAGAGAGTACAATTAGCCACACGTACAACTTTTGGTCATCTATTTAAGTAGTCTTTATATAGTACATACTATAGGTTCTACACTAGCTGCTATACCTATAATTCAACTAGAGGATTATCTATTTAAATCCTCTATAACGCTCATTTGTTATTACTAAGATATCTTCATTACATTTGTTAGTCGAAAAGTACTGGATACTTGCTATAGGCTTAGGACTAATTTATCCTCGAAGCATTATTACTAGAGCTTTTAATACTCACAAATCAGCAGAATTGAATGATGCTAATAGAACGTTTATTGAAGGCTATTGCTATTGTAATGAAATTGGTATTAAAAAAGACGAAAATAAAGCTTTCAAATATTGTCAAAAATCTGCAAATATAGATAATGCTGATAAAGTATCTATGATCAGATATTGCTATTATCATGAGATTGAAATTAAAAAGTATAAATATAAGGCATTTATAAATTATCAAAAATCAGAGGATGTGGGTGATGCTGAAAGAATAATTAATATTAAAAAACAACATTAAAGTGAAAAAGCGATGGTGTTGATAAAAGCACCACTAGATCTGGTTACAAAAATAGATATAAAAATAGAAAATTTGGCAGAAACATTAAGGAAATTGAATGATGCTGATAAGTTCAAAGTTAATGATAATGAGAATGAAGCTGCAGATAGTAGAGCAAATAAATCTAAAAATTATTATTAATCTGAAATTAAGAATGAAAAGGATAGACAAAAGGCATTTGTTTATTACTGAAGCCTCTAGAAAATAAGTTATAGTAATAAAGCACATGATTATGAGTGTGATGACAAGAATAAGAGATACATACTATTAAGAGGAGTGTGTGTAAGTCAGCCAAACACTATGCGAATAATAACTGGTATATTTAAAGCTAGAGGTTATGTAAGTGAATCAATAAGGTTATGTGATTTGAGTTATCGAAGGGCCAATAATATGTATTGGAAGTTTAAAAGTTTAATTGAAAGTACTTCATAGGATATAGACATTTAGGATCGATATAAAAGTATAAAAGGTGAAATGTTGAGTATACAGAAGCTTGATAGTAATAAGTATTCTGAGAAAAAAGTTAATCAAAGTAAATAAACACTCCATGTTGTGAAATG